ACTATTACTGAATATTATCACATTGACCTGTTCGGGGTGGGACTCGTATCAACCATGTGAAGTTTCGTTAATGTACACTGAAGTTATGACAAATCCCTCTTTCATGGCGAGTCGTTAAAATTCCACGCCACGCCACGGACACGTTGTTAGACAGAATGTCGTAAATAGCGTTCCTGAAGAAGGTGTGCATGCCGCACTGTCGGTTTTGGAAAGAGAGAGGAATTGTCGGACACAGCACCCTAATCCCATGTTAGAAAGGTGTGGGCTGTGGAGGTTTCGAAGCTATTAGAAAATCTGATAAGCTTCTCAAGAAGCTGGCAGTTATTTTATATGTTTGTGATGTTTTTAAAAGAATATCAAGTAAAATAATTTTCTCTTTGTCGTCTGACTAAATGCTGTTCTGTGGATACTGTTATTGTGATTCTTTTCCTTTGCATGTTTACAGATCAGAAAGGCGGTTACCAGCAGAATAAGGGGGGCTACCAGGGCGGCTACCAGGGGGGCTACCAGGGGGGCTACCAGGGGGGCTACCAGCGAGGCGGCTACAGAAATCAAAACCAAGGCAACTACTGAGCTTGCCACATGTGGATTTCAGTCTCACCACCTAAACTAGTCTTCATTCCATAACAACAACATCAACCTGTGTTTCTGTACTCTGCACTTGGGTGTTTGCTGTTCTTCATTTGACTCAAACCAGCTGCTCGCTGATCCTGAATCAGCTGAACGTTATCGCAGCCCTTCTCACTGCAGCTGCATAGTGTGGTATTTCAGTACGGCTAACTTCTTTGAATAAATTAAAATGAAAAGAGTTTTATGGTTATTATTGCTAATGGAACATTTTTCAATATAGGCATTGCAGTGTGGTTGGCTTGTGGCAGTACAGTTGAGCGACAGACACGTACAAGTATTGATGACTTATACTTATTGAATAAACAGTAATAAACTGAGTTTTGAGTTTTCTTTTTGAAAGGTATGTTTTAATATAAATTTAATACAAAACACGAAACAAAGGTAATGTAAACCCCACCTCCTCCACGCTAAACTGTCAGTGACATTCATCGTTTCTCACAGGCCACCTATCATCAGCTATGTGAGAGAGGCTGATCAATCTTACGGATAGTCTAAAGAGATTTGGGTTTTCCACAGTTTATAGCATGCAACGATAGTTGTTAGTGATTTTGTGCCATGTGTATTTAACAGATTGAATTGAATTACAGAAGCAAATATGAGATCTCTTTAAATCCAAAAGAAAAGATGTGACTGTTAGTAGTTGGGCATTAATCAATTAAAGACAGGCTCCTTAAATACATCACACAACAGAAGATGCAGCAAACGCAGAAGGGTATCATCCCGAAATAGGTCTTTTATAACCTTCATTCTCTGTTTTTCTATACATTAAATACTCAGTAGCTTCTCCCTGGGATCACACCCTGATCTGGATATAGGGGACACATTGTCAAAACATTAATGATATAAACTGAAGGAACTGGTTTTTAGGCAATTTGAAAATAAAGAAAAACCTGGAGGGAGTCTTTGCTTTATGGACAAAAAGTGTTTTGATTTCTGTTCATCACACTGAATATATCCAAAGTATAATAAATAGCCTTTAATATATATATGTTTAGCTTTTTGTGGTGGTTTGATTAAAAAGCCACCAAGAGGTAAATAGGTCATATCAGCCAGACGTCCATGATATTCAGGCAAAAAATTAACCAGCAGGACATGGGACTCAGTCACTGTGTCACCACCACTGACGTATTCTCTTGTTACTAATTAGTTGCTTCAGAGCAGCTTCACCAGCCACCACCAAAATCGCAATTCATAATCCACACTGAACCTTTTTCAACACTTTTCAAAACCAACTTTGGTTGTTTGGCAATGTCTAAATGTTAGGTTTTAATGTCAGTTTATATTTTTAGTGTTTTTTGTGGTTTGGCCAGAAGCTCAGAGGTCTGGTCACACAGGTGTTGTTTCACAAGACTAGCAGGCAAAAATGAAAATAAGTATTCTAACATTTATGTTTATTCCTATAAAACAAAGATATTGATAGTGTTAATGTACAGCAGCGATATTACATGTATTTCAAATGCATTTTGTCTTACAACTTCCATCAAACGTAACAAAATTGTTACACTTTTTGTTCGTCATTAAATCATTGTTCAGTTCACCATACATACAGTGATCGAAACTACTTTTTGCAAGATCCATTCTTAATTTCCATTCACTTTAATTCTTCATCAGTAGACAGTGGGTTATGGATTGCATATGATCCTTTGGTGTTACAGAATCAACTCCAGGTATATGTAATTGTATGGATCTGAACTTCCGTTGGCCTTCAGTGTTCCCATGTGGCTTCCTTATTCTACACCATTTCCTGATTGGACACCTGAATGCAAGTCTACACTCACTCACACACACCACCAGTGCCTCTTCTCTCTCTGTGCTGCTGGCCTGTTAGCTGCCTCCCCTCATCCTCAGCCTCCTGTAGAGTTCTTGCCTCAGTAGGTCCCTCTCTTTGCGGATTCCCTGCAACACCGACCGGTTCTCCTGAGCCCGACGCACCAGGTAGGGGAGCGTGTCATCCACTGAGCCATACGGCACTGACTTGTATACGGCATAACCCTCCTTAGCTGGAGGGAAGGGAGAGGCATGGAGAGATGACATAGTGACATGTTAGAAGGGAAGGACAGCATTTATTTTGTCATTACTCGTGTGGAGAATGTTTTCCATCGACGTACACTTCCTAACAATTTTGGGGAAATGAAGTGCTTTCTGTGGTTGAATAAGACACAGGACCTCTTGCAGACAATATAAAGAAAACCAGTTGAAGCACAGCTCACCCAGCGTGAGGGAGACGTGATCACACATGCCCAGCAGCTGGCCGAAACACACTGAGCCTCCATCTTTGTCTATCCCCAACTCTTCCATCCTGGAGATGATACACACAATAGCTAGATCATATACAAGACAGTAGTACCCAACCTGGGGCTCGCTATGAAGTGTTATCCCAATTTCTGTTGATTTTTGTCTAATCTCTAGCTGGTTTTCCTGAAAATTACAGAGTAATTACACAGTTTTGGGACTCAACAAGCAAGGTAAAGATCAATGGTTTTAAGGGGTCACAGGCCAAAAAGGTTGGGAACCGCTGATATTCAGCATCAAGTGACATTCAAGTGAAGGTCAAATCAGATATTTCTAATTGGACTGGATTAAAACATCCATATAAGATTAAAGAAAATAGGTTTACAACAGATAAGTGAAAAGAAAAACTATAAAATAAAAGGTAAATGAGTTCCATGTGATTTTCACTTACCGTTTGGCGGCTCGTCTTACTGACTCCTCATTGTGAGAGGCGACTATGATCCTGTAGCGCTCAGGTTTCTGGGATATGACTTCCAGCATCACATCCAGCGATCCGTTATAACTGCACAAACACAAGTAAACAGATGAAATGTGCTGGAGTCAAGTTCACTGTCAGAAATGTATTCTGTGTATTGTTAGAAAGGTCAAGTTTATCATGTGCAACAGCCTTCATCTCACCACAAAACTAATAAGCTTATTGTAATCCAGATAAACCGATTTACAGCACAAATCCAGGTGCATTGGTAAAAATTGACTAAACCCAAACAAGTGTTAGATTCAACCTCATGTAGTTTATGTCTTGGCATTGTCTGGGTCCACCTGTCATTGGTGTCCTCCCAGCACTGGTGGACGGGGTCCCGACGACCCTCTTTCTCTGCCAGCTTCCTCTCTTTGTCCATGTAGGCTCCTCGTACCAGCTTGACTCCCAGACAGAAACCCTCAGTCTTGGACAGATGCAGAGCCTCTAACAGGAGAGACCTGGACTCCTGAAGGACACAGACGCAGAGGAGGGTCTATTTGATAAAGTCTCCTTTAAGAAAACACCTACTTAGTCCTACATTCAGTTGAACTAAAAGAGATGTTCTTATATGTGAAAATGAGAAGAGCATTAAAGATATTTGCCTTCAGGTAACACTGATATGTGTTCCAAATCCAGGCGCCATCTTTGTTAAACTTCTTCATCATCGCCATGGTAACAAGAGAGAGGGCAGGGTTCATGTAGGTGTACTCTGCATCAACCAGGACTCGGACTTTGTTTGCACTTGCCTAAAAATTTAAAAAAAATAAATAAATTGTAACTACACACAGCGGATCCTCAAAAATAAACACAATCATTTACAGTTGTACAGCTGTCAGTTGTCAAGGGGC